AATCCACTCACTTCAGCCTCCCCAAAGGCACGGGATTACAGGCTGAGCCACCGAGCCCGGCGAAGTGGAGTTTTAATAGCAAATAGCCTAAATGCCATAGAAAGGTTAGGGGTTAAGTAAATTATTATGATCTCTCCAAATAACAGCTGAATACATTGGGCTTATGGAAAGCTCTTCAAGACCCACCAGGAAGTGGAAGAGGCCAGGCCTGGAGCAATCTCTGGGCACACTGGCTGGGATACACAGCTTTTCCTAGGAGTGTAGACATATACCTTTAATGTTGGATACCTTTGGAAGACAGGTAGGAGACGGAGGGAGACTTAATTTTACATTTGCTTGTAAACTGTACTGTGCTCTTTTTTAACCATGTGCATTACTATTTTTATTTGGTAAATGTACAGTTTTTTGGGTTTTTTTTTAGTTGGGGCTTCACTCTGTTGCCCAGGCTAGAGTGCAGTGGCATGATCATGACTTATCGCAGCCTTGGTCTCCTGGGCTCAGGTGACCCTCCTGCCTCAGCCTCCCAAGTAGCTGGAATTACAGGCATGCATCACCACACCCAGCTAATTTTTTGATTTTTTTTTAGAGATAAGGTCTCATTATGTTGCCCAGGCTGGTCTTGAACTCCTGGGCTCAAGCAATCCTCCTGCCTCAGCCTCCCAAAGTACTAGAATTACAGGTATGAGCCAGCATGCCTGGCCCAAATACATTTTTTTAAAGGCATTGGTCTATTGCAGCACTATTCACAACAGCAAAAACATGGAACTAACCATGCTACCCATCGAAAGTAGACTGGATTTTAAAAAGTGGTACATATACATGATGGAATATCATGCAGCAATAAAGAAGGACAAAATTATGAACTTCACAGCAACTTGGATGGATTTAGTCTGTAATACTCAGTGATCTGTCACAGAAACAAAGAACTGAGTACCACATGTTCTTGCTCATATGCAGACCCTGAACAATTATCATAATACTACAAGAAAGGGATTGACAGTATGGGAAACTGCCAGGGG